AGCAATGGCCGATAAGATCAGGAAGGACGCACTCCATACTGGCGCGTTACTGCCCGAAGTGAAAGGTGTGCTTTTCAAGCTGTTGCATTCGTTCCCGTTACAGGTGCAGTACTCCATGTCGATCCCGAAGTCCCCGAGTCCCATTGCCTTCAGTGAATCGAGAGGGAATAGCTGAGTAATGGCCGGATCCTCCTGCGTCAGTTTCACGCATTTTTTCTCCGTTTCTATTCCGGCGCATCCGCGTTGGGCCATTTTCATAGTTACGGACGTGTCTCTCTGAAATTAAAGAGAATATCGAAGATTAGCCTATAAGAAATAGCTTGTTCACAGCACATTGTTCTTTCCCTGTATTATGTACCCTCTACCAGGGCCGCAGCTATAACCCTGTGGACATTTTTGCTGAGGCGACCCTGTAACGTTTGGACAGATGTGAGCAATTAAAAATGCACGCGTACAGATGGCATTGTACCTGCTCTGCAGGAGCTCAGTGAGAGCTATGCTTCACGTCGATGTGATTATCGCTTGTTACGCAACCTGCCTTGTGTTTTCTGTCTGCTAAGGGGTTGTGTTTATTGTCACAGATGAGCAATTGACTGTCTTGATTACTCCCAAGGGGACCTGGCAGGGACTTGCTAAGTGACAGTGCCTGAGTAGATATGCAAACAATTACCAGCTATGTAATCATCCTTGAGATTTCAGCACAGGGTGACAGTACAAAGCTTAGCCATCTGTTTAACCAGAGACGTATCTCTCAATATCTAGTGAAAAATCAATCTATTGCCCTGGTAGATGGTAGTCACCAAGTGTGTCAGAGAAATTGGTGTTATCAAACAATTCACTGGTACAAACAATACTGGAAATGTATATAGTCAAACACTTGATATAGCAGGCAGTCTTGTCACGTTCAGATATGATGCTCATTACGTTTATTTTGCACACGTTCATCACACATTGAATTTTTTTCAATTACAATTATGTTCTAATAATCCTTTTTTCCAGCTGTAATATCAAAATAATTTTGGTCTTTCAAAGATGGGTCGCCCGAAAATATCCGATTGCAACAACATTTATTAACTTGTGCATTCCAAGTTTTGCCAGCTGTTACTCGTTTGCAATTAACTGTCGACCTCTAAAAATCAGCCGTCTCTGGCTTTGAGCACCCATCATTTTCCGCCCCCCCCCCCCCTTAATGAACATCCGTACTAGCCCGTAGCTCTCCTGATTTTACTAGTATTTCACTCAGTTTTATCAACTGTGGACTATGTTCTAGGGATAACTATACTTACCATACTCATAGTGACAGTTGCTCCAATGTTCTGACAAGAACCTTCGCAGGACATGGTGCGAGTTTCGGATCCTTTGTCCAGACACTCGGGTACACTGGCTGCTTGGGTGATTTGATCGAAGTTCTTCTGCATCTGGCTGTCTGATGTTTCGTACTTCATGTAAGTGCACACGTGACACTGGGTAGTAGGGGCTGTAAAAAGACAACCAAGGTTTCGCATTCAAATCA